AACAGGGTAAAATTTAAATTATATTAACAATCCAGAATTTGTTATTTCTTTTTAAATTTGAAACTACAGCGTAGTGTTTCAAGTTAAGAATGTTGACTTTTGGGTGACATCGGTTCTGATAGTAATCGAGGCTTAATGCACTTCCATTGTTTTTTTTCTTCTTCTTCTAGTTGTTGTTTATGTTTGTTGATTTTATTTTCCGTAGAATGAACATAGTACCGTATAATTATGAAACTTATTGGAATATGTTCCAATTCCGATTTATTAATTTAAAAAAATATTACGAGGTGTATTTTGAGCCGGAAAATCGAAACATACAGCAAAAATTATGGTAAAAGCTATTATTACACGTTTATTCGGTGGGGCCGTCGATGTAATTACCACCTAAAACTTGACTGTCTCGAGAATATTGTAAGAAAAATACTCAGAAATACGCAGTCACTTGATCACACCAAAATTAATTACTATTCCTATGAAGTTTTCCTCAACGTGCGCCTTGCTTCGTAACAAATCACCCACCAGCGTTCCCTTCGATTTTCCATTAATTATCCCTTTCTAGGAAATAATCTAAAGCCTTTGTTGGTTTGTAATCAAGAATTTCTAGCGACACTTCGATCGATCAAGACTGTTTGTTTGCTGTCCATAGAAATTCCAAGACACTTTCGACAACATTGATAAATGTTCCTATAAACAATGAAACTATCCTGTGCAGCGTTGACTCGATCTTATTGTAGCTGCTTAAGCTGCTTGCTGACTTCAGTTTGTTCTTTTTTTTACCGACTTCATATGAGGTTCCCAATTCTAATGTAATTTTTTTGTATGTAATTACGCGATTATACTGATAAATGTCAGTGTACTGATTCTATGATTCTTTTTAGGTTGAAAAGGGACTCCTTGTGAAAGAATTCCTCCGGGGAAGTACGTTACCTATTTCTGCCGCCAAGCATTAATGTGAGCATTACTGCGTTCCGATTTTGAAATGCAAGGGTGCCGGTGAAGTTACAGGCACATGGGACTTGTCAACTTATGTCTCAGGGTGACGAGCGTAGTGGCTGTTCCCCTTACGATCTTTTGCGATTTAAAGCTCTGAATTGCACTGCAACTGTTATGGATAGGCGTGTCGCTTACCATCCGGCTTGTTCGTCCCGTTACTTGGCATTAAAAAAATCCTTCAAAAAAGAAAAACAAATTCTTATTGAACCGAATCAAAATTTTACTCAGTAAGCATCCAAAACTCCCAGCAATATTTCTGTAAACGGTCCGTAAAATAATATTTCCACTACCGATAATTTGGGAACTTGCATCGCCGTCGGAAGAGTAAATGCTCTGCTCTTGGAAAGTCCGAATGTTAAAATTTATGCCATTGCAAGTGTTGGATTTACGGGCAACTCTTCGTGCGTGGGGATTTTCTAAAACCTCGTACATCTTCTTTATTTATGTTTATGCCGGCTTCAACGGATTTCTGCACATATACTTATTTGGTATAGATCACGAATCCGTTTATCGCATTCCGAACACGTTTCGGTCGACCGATAGACTTGATGTATAATCGTGAATACCCTTGCAAAATTATAGAGAAAAAAATTGCTATTGTACCCTGAAGAATAACAATAGATTTGTTCTTTTCGATTCTATGCAAAATAAATCTACTGAAACCCGGGTTTGGGTTTACTGAAAGGAATACATCGAAGGTTGGAAACGATTTACGTACTTATTACCTACACACGTGTATACAATACAGACATGGGAGATCAAAGAAGACTGAATGCAAAAGTGAACTGAAAAACAAAAGAACTAATTGGGAATCACTATCAACTCTTCGACACGCTCGCCCAATGCCAGTTAGATCATTCCTTCACGATACTTTGCATCGGCGTGTTTTGCAATGCCTACAAAGCCATAAACATACTACGATGCTACATACAAATTAGATCTACATGCCATATAGTGCGTTGAAACGACGGGCGGTGACGAAACGCCTGCACATCGGGCCACATGGGGTCAGGAAACGAAGCGGGGAGAGGTGCTGCGGTGCATAATAACCGTCGTTATTAAGCATTAATAAGCTCGTGAGCCACGCACAGGCAGCACCCAACGTGGCATCGCTCTTGGGAACTTTACACGTTTTTCATAGGTTATAAATCGTCTTCGATATGCAGGTTTACTTACTATAACATTAATAAATTAGCTTTTTACAAATAAACATCATGCTTAAATGGAAAAACCATTCTAATTTATTTCTGAGGTTAATCCTAAATAAGAAGGATTTAGGACTTTAATAATCCAAAATATATATATGAGAAAAAATAACGGATACAGCAGCAAATTCAATTCCTTGTGAACAAAGCCGGATTTACATCTGTCGGATGTGTCGTGTCGTCACGCGTCAGAACGGTGCCGATTTCTTACACACAACACAAGCCGTCACGTCAGATTGTGTCAGACACTAATATAAATCTAACCATATTAAATGTACGAACCCGATATAGTTATGACGCGTCACGACACGACACGTCAGACAAATGTAAATCCGGCTTAATAAATATACACGTACTTATGATTGTATAATAATTATATATCAATAGTACTGAACAAGAAAGTAAATAAGACAGTAATTGGGCGGTAGGGGAGCAAAATGTGCGAGAAGAAACTGCATGGTAGGAATCCATCATATTCTAAATTATTGCGCAATATCAAGAAAAACCGGGTAAAATCGATGAAATGAAAGTTTAGTGAGAGATTTTTGATATCATTTTAGTTAAAGAAAATGAAAATTAGTTAAAAAGAAAATAAAGTAAAAAGATCTCTGACATCATAAAAAGTTTGACATAAAACAAGTCGTTATACAAATATAAAACAAGAAGTTTTTTCTAAAGAACTCGTAATAATCTCATAGTCAAAATTCTTCATTCGCTGCATTCCAAAAACTTATCAGCAATCCTGAACATTAACAAGCACATGGTAGCGTCAGCAAACAAATCGACTTCTAAAATTCTCAATGACAAACGCTCTAATAAACAGGTGTGGCAATTTGTAACAGCCTCGTTTATCTTTTCGTACTTCACTTATCAGAACAAATATAGATAACCTAGCTATGAGTTGCTTATCTGACGATAACTACACAGTTGCGATTCGATCGACTTTGTGAGTGGTCAAAACCTTCATTTTAAAGATAAAAATTAGTTGTTTCTGTTTTAACGTGTCAAAGTGAAGTGACTGTGCTATGGCTGGAGCAGGAGCTGCAGGAGGTCAAGGGTCTGGTGTTGGAAAACTTGAGTCACAAATCTATTGCATCAAATACACGTTGTTCTGCTTCAATGTGATTCTTTGGGTAAGTGTCCTACAGGGAGCTGTCTTTGAGCTCTCACTGTTCAGTCTCTATAAAGTTTGCTTTAAATTACTTGAAGCGCTGTCCTAACAGTGCATTTAGATTAGAAAAAACTACACGAAAGAAACGAGACAGTGTATTGCAATCTATATGGCCAAGTTCATACGATAGAAAGAGATGACTATGTTCGTGAGTAATTTTTAGAATAATATGACGCACATAATTCTAATAACTAGAATAAAAGTATCGTTCGTCCTACAGATTGATTTAGATCGCTTTGATAATCAAAGCTTCTCTTTACATTGAAACGTTGAAAAGGTTTTGCTGAATAGCTCTCTGAAGCACTAATTGATTAAATCCATAGCTGAGCTCATAAAGAGAATCAAATTAAAAATATATTAATAAAGAAAATAATAAATAGAACATGTAATCAATTCGTTTTACTAAATACTCTAAATGCATTACATAGTCGTATTAGGTAATAATTTATGCGTGCAAAAGAACTTATCACAAAATAATAAGGTGCCTGTATGGTACAGGCGAACAAAATAGCGGAGCCCACACAAATAATGCTGAAAACAATTGTCAGAACCAGTAATTACGGTATAAAATATTCTTTGATATCGCATTACCTAAAATATGCCATAAAGGGCCGTGTACAAAGAATTCGTTATCTAAGATAAGCCTGTCCTGTTTTCCGAGTACCATGCCGTCATTCGGTGAATCACGTATGAAAATAAAATGATAGGAATTTCGTACCTTTTCGTCCGTTTATTCGGATTGCTTCCGACCTCACTTCCGACTTCGTTCCGATAAGTGATTCCGCCTATGAATCATGATTATTTTCTTATTAAATTGTTATCTGCCCGAATAGCATCTTAATGACAGCATTTCGTTTTGAACTTTATTTACACAAATAAAGGGACTCTTCGTGAAAATTTATTGGTTTAATTATTTAATATCGGAATTCTAACTTGGTAATTCTATATAGAGAAGACAGACGTGAATTAAATATTAACATGTTTGTTATCATAAGACATTGATTGATAGGTATTAAAGTAGGTAATATTTGATTCGTTTTTTGCTGTTTTTCTGTATATTTAACAAATAATATCCTGGACTGGGGAAACGGTTATATTCCGTCCAGATGGTCACTGGTCCACATTACTTAGTGTTTTCGAATCAGGTGCAGTTTGGGTTAATGCTACTACACACTTTATTTGTGAAGGAAAACATCGTAAAGGCCAGTGTTTTGGAGAAAGTTCGAAACTTCTCGAAGAGATGTTAAGTCTCTAACCCGTAATAGGCCAGCGTGGAACTACAGCTTAAACTATCTTAGAAAGACACATGATCAGTATTAAAGGTTCCACCAAACTGGTGCACGTGGAATCGACTTAAGCCAACCACATAATGACACTCCGCGTTTTAAGCCAACGATGAAACCTCGTTTCGCTGGTAACGAGTCGCGTTCTTTAAGCCGATGTGACGCCATGACGCATTATTCATCCTTATTACGACTGACTTAAAACATTCCCTCACCGATTTAAGCCGATTCCCCGTCGACTACTTTGATAGACTAGTATGTGTTGTTACAATTTGTAAATCTAAACTTAAAAGGCTTCTACGACATATATAGTACATAGTAAGTAAAATCCAAGCCAAACTCCAAACATTCACCACAGTTAGCGAACTACAAACTGAATTAAACAGCTGGCCGTAATTGTTGTTAATGTCACTGCAACTTACACCCACATCCGCGACCTAATGGCAACTGTACTTTACACAATGAGGGTTTAGTATATCCTATTACTAATGTACTGTATATGTAATACATAATTACTATAGTCATGGACTAATAATTCAAAAGAATAAAAAGCCTAGTGGAATATTTATTACCTACTGGTATACCAGATGTCGCGATGAATGCCAAAGGCTATTTTTGTAACTAATTTTTAAACAATTGACAACCGATAATTTATCAAAGCTACTCTAATCTATTACTGAGTGGTATCCGGTAGGAGCGAGACGTCCTCGAGGCAGACCACCTGCTAGATGTTCGGGTGATATCGTCGAGGTGGTCGGAAAATTGTTAATGAGATTCGCACAGGATCGATTGAGCTGGCGCGCAAAGAAGGAGGCCTATACCCAGCAGTGGGCGAACGGACGAGACAAGACACACGAGAAGAGCGGCGTTTTAGAAATAAATAATCTTCTCCGGTCCAGTTTGGCCAAAGTGATTTAACACAAGCATATAATTCAAATTTGAATCCACTAGGTCAAGCGCTGTTTATGATTATCAGACAAAATTTTACTGTCTTTCTCTTGATAAGGTCCATCATCATCAAGAGCCAGGCTCTTATTGGTGTAGACTCTTACACTTCCCACAATTCATAAGCGAATCCTTGACCTCTTTGCAGCTGCTCACTTTGATGTTGAGAAAGGTATCAAGACGAAAAAATTTAATACTTTTGGTTACAGCTCTTCTCCGCCCTGGACCCCGATTCAGAACTCTTCGATATTTTAACTGAATCGTTCGATTAAATATCGTTCTCGAATCGAAGGGCGCTTTCCGAGCCATTTAGAACATTCCTAGGTAAACGTTCCCCAATATATCGTTACCCAACAGCGTTTACGGAGTTAGTCCGTGAAATAGATTATAAGAAAAATGAAAATCCTTTTATATACCTTTTCAAGGCTTTAAAGGCCTAAAATATAGGAATGCTTTAGTCTTGTCATTAAAATAAATTAATAAAATTTAATCCAGACTTTATTCAAAATAGTAAGTCATTTCCACATTACATTTGTGCCGTTAACACAAGTTGCACTGCAGGATATATGTAAATGCAAGTAGGACGATGCAAAGAGATAGATGTAAATTGCCATGCAAATGATTGGAGTACTATTAAATAATGTAAATAAAGCAACTGTGTTCGGACGAGACGAATATTATACTCATTTATTGCAAAATATACATCGATCAACTGTGGTGCTGCAGTAAGCGTAAATCTAATACATATGATATCGTATGGGTTTACTTGTGCATATTAAAATAACAAAATGTAAATCATAAAAAATGTACGGTTTCACCCGTACAACATTCTTGTTTTGTAAACAATAGGAGGTTCGGTAACTTTCATTCGATAACTGTGTTCTGAATAACGTTTGTAGCCTTTGCCGGTCGAGAAGCTCGAGTAATCGTACGGGTGTGACGTCATTTCAGTTCGGCTTCGTATGCGACAGTTTGACGTTCGATTCGGGTGTTGTGAATAAAAATGAAAAGAAATCGATCGACAGCTGAGTTATCGTAAGGTTCTGAATTGAACCCCCTTGTTACGGTACATTTAACCTAATAGACTTTAATAGCGGTTACCATTGCAAACGCCACAGGACAAATGACATTGTCAGTAACGACAAAATTATAAGCTCCAATTGCATACTTTCAAAACTTTGACAGCAACAGCTTTACCTTTGACTTCGCCATTTTCAAATATCCGATACAAAACCGAAACACTTGGCCAAGTTACCGCTAGTATGGTACAGCCATAACAGGGGTTTTCGAAGTTGGAAGGACATTAGCGGCACGTGGCACTGGTAGTAAATCTGTGGCCGCCGCAACTCGGACCGTACTGCGGTTATTAGACAGTTAATTACTGTATAATTCTGTGATATTATTCTTGGCCTTCAATAATGCTATACTAGAAGTAAATATTGTTTATCTACACATATTATAAACTCACTGTCATGTGTTCAAAAACCGCAAATTACGACCAGCATAAGTTTTGTTAGAACAAATTTCTTATCTGTGAAAATGTTATTATTGCTTCATATTAACATCAAATTCGATATTATTATTACATTCAAATTTCGAAAAACAAAACAATTTGATTGAACCTCAATTCTAGTATCAATCGAGATGAAGTTTTATTCGAAATGAAATGTCAATAGCAAACAATTTTGACAATTTCACACGTTGCTTGATATCGAACGATATGATAGTTGGGGCAGAGACGATCTAGTTCGTCTATGAATTAAAAATAAAAACTACGGTGTGTGACATGCGTGAGAAAAGTTTTTATTTGCCGCAATTTCGCCAGTCGTAACATGCGGTTCCTGAACACACAGAGAGCTTATAACATGTGTGTAGATAAAGCAGTGTATGTAACTGTATATAATTAGGCATTGAAACACTCGTGAGATGTTTTTAAACAAACCCACACTCGTATTTTAATGCTTTTCATTATGTAACAGTCACATAAACTAGTATTTTGAATAAGACTGTTCGTAGTCTTAAATAAGGGTGCCAGTGAAATTACAGGCACTTGCACACTAAGCGTTTTTGTATTGAATATCAAGACGTTTCAACGCCATGATATTAAATTTTTTTTGTGAAACTACTCCACTAGTTTGTTATAATTAATTATACAAAGATCGAACACTTAATAAGAAGTAAATTACATAGTCAGTTAAAGTACTAATATTTCTATTAAGAGTTGCTATTGCGCGAGTCGAGTGGCAGGGACAAGGGATTTATTTCAGAATTTATTTTTTTTACAAACGAAATTAAAAACATTTAAAAAATGTGTATAGTATACGCGTTCTGTTAAGTTCCGTTATTATAAAAATTGATACCTATTATCGCACATGACAACTAACATAGTATTATCTGAAATTGCTTTAATTTATGTTAATATTACATATTTAGTTTCAAAGCGACAGTATTGACCTATCACTTTGAAATTAAATCGTATATGAATGACACATTAATATAGCGAAATTTTGGAGATAAATTATTAATATAACCATTGACTTACAATTATATGGACGTCGGGTCCGCGCTAAAAAGTGTCCGCACTTGTAAGGCGCTAAAATCGTATACAGAGCGCGACACTCCGCTTTAGTCTTCATTTGTTCGACTGACAGCGCGATACTGCGATGACATTACAATTTAAATTACGAATAGGTTGACTTGGGACATTTTTTTCGTGGTTTTTGTATTAGACCCG